GTCGTCGTCGTTGTAGTGGTAGTGGTAGTAGCGGTAGTGGTAGTGGTAGTAGTAGTAGTAGTAGTAGTAGTAGTAGTAGTAGGGCTAGTGGTAGTAGTAGCAGTAGTAGTAGTAGTAGAAGAACAAGAAGTAGTAGTAGTGTTAGCCATTATAATTATAATGGGATGGCGAGCGCAAGCATAATCGTAGAAATAATAAGTGACAAAGCAGAGCAATGATTACAATGCCGGCAAACCGCCAGAAACAGGTTAAGACTATATCATGCCAGAACAGCCACAACAGTATCACCACATCTTCAAAGATCGCAGAGAAGCAAGGACTGCTCCGGTCCTACGATTCGCAGACCTGAGCTTCTTCGGTGTCTCCCCGAGTCTGATCGCCTCCTGCATTCGCAGCTTGGACGCAACCAGCCGAAGTGGTGGTAATTTCTCATCGAGTGGCTCATATGCACAGACTATACAACATGTTAGTTGTTGTTGGTGTCGCGTGTTTGTTTGTGTGCTTGTGCATGTATGCGTGTGCGGGGGACAACACTACATGCGGCACGGGGCACCCAGTTTGGGCTGCCATCGACAGAAAAGCTTCTGATGTCAGGGGATCGCCGGAGGCTAGCAGCTAGCACTGCTCTCCAGTGAAACCAGCTTGCACCTGCAAGTTGCAGTGAATTTACAGGACATCTGCTTTCCTCGCCGAAAGTTAGTGACCTTCGCCGTTTGCTTGCATATTGGCTGAAGGATGTTCTATCTCGAAAACAGTGCCAGGCTCAAGCCTGCCTGTAGGCAGTTTCAGCGGGTTGACAGACATTTCGTGGAGTGAGTGTGCACTGAACTTGTAAAAACCTTTCCTTTGTGAGGGCTTCCTACTATCCTCCTGAACTTGGTTCACTTCATGGTGGCCAATCTTGGCAACAAGCAACAACAAATTAAGATGCCAGTCACCGTCGCGACTGTTCTATGATCATTGCTGTATCCTATTTCAGCTTCATCGATGAACATCTCCGTTCCATGCATTATCGTACACAGGTGCGTTGTGTTTTCATGCATCGGGGAAGTACGACCGACAACAGGGCAGCGAACAGCGTGCCATCAGCGGCAGCAATCACATTGCGCCTGTTTTTCGAGTTCGAATTCTTTTTCTGCGGGGCCCAGGCCTGGCATCTCCCAGGGTTTGGTGGTGGGAAGCATAATGTAGGGGCCTTGATAACTAGGATAGGGGTTTCGGTCGGTGTATACTATATTGTGATTGTATCAGGAACCCTCAAAATAGTATTGGTGAAATATTTAGGCCCCTGTGATCGTCGACGGTCTTGTCAGACCGGAGACTCATGTTCTTAGGCTGTGCTGGTGGATCCCCGTTCACGACCGTCGTGCAAGCAGAGCGCCTTGGAAGCACAGCAAGTGGATTCACCGGAAATGACCTTTACAGTTAGGGACCCTATGCCCTTGTACCACGAATCCCCACTATATGGTATACGTTACGAATCCCCTTTTATGGTAGATGAACTTCAAACCCTTCTTGGTTCTTTTCGTCCTTGTGGGTGAGATGAGGCATTTACATAAGTAGACCAGGATGGCCCAGCATCCGCTCCCCGCCTGTGCAGAAGCTTCCATGCCGCCGCTGTGCATGTAGGGTATGCGGGAGCACTGAAGCTGATCTGCACGTATCCCATCCCAGAGTTTGGAGAGGAGGCTGGGTGCATGCACATGCAAGGATTCCACACCTGCTGACCAAGACCCCAGATCTGTCTTGGCAGTCCTTGGTGTATCAAGTTTCGCTGGACATCCGTAGTCCCAGATCGCTTTCCCATTTCTTGTGATTTCGTCCCGCACACCCAGCTTCGGTGTGTTTTTTGAGTCAGTTGGCAGATCGCCACATGCCGAGCCCGATCCACCTGCAAATGCGAGGTGCTGGGGTCAGCTGCTGCGGCTCCGTCACAGTGGCACATTGCTTGGCTATGCTATACTGTACTCTACTCTACTATACTGTACTATACTATACTATATGCTCTTTAGGCTTTTTCGTCACAGTGACACATTGCTTGGCTAGGGGAGAAGGTGAGTTGGAGACTTTTGCCGCCGGGGTTGGGAAAGAAGTGAGTCGCCGGAGCTTGCCCAATAGAGGGGCCTAAATAAATACCAAAACTATATTGGGGGTTCCTTCTTCTTATTATTATTACTGTTTTGTTATTCCCCAAAAACCATATTCTAGTTGGTAAGGCCCCCCATATTGCACTTATAAACATTTAGAGCCCACTTCCTGGTTCATTCTCATGTTGCTCTGCATTGGAGCTCCATTCGTCCGCATAACGCCGAAACAATGAAACGCAGCGACTTGCTAGGGAATTCTGGCTTGTTGCCCCCAGCTGGTAAGCTTGGTGAGCTTTCGGCTGTCTTCCATTTTCGGATGTGGAATAGACAGAACGACAGTAGATGGCATGAAGGTTCTTTCGGCCTGCTCCAGAAAGGAACTTTGTCCCTGCACCAAGCCAAAACCACAAAACAAAGCAGCGGTTATAAGACCCCGGCGGCGCCTCAGGAATTCCGTCCATGCCAGAGATGGAAGCCTTGCGGAAAGGTGCCGCGCAGGCCACTAGTACTAGCGACGTTGGCTCCAGGTTCCGCTTCAAATGGGCTTTCCGAAAATAGGGGGGGGTACCTTATTTTGGGGTCCTTATAATAAGGATCCTATTCTTTAGGGTACTTTATCAGGGTCCCCTATTTTCGGAAACCCCCAAATGGTAAAGGTTTGGCATTTTGAGGATGCACGCTGTGCAGCAGAATATGGTGTTCGAGCCTCTTCTTCTACAGGGTTTAGGGTTTAGGGTTTAGGAGCCGAGTGTTCGATTGCAATCTCACCCAGTTGGCCGTGGCACTGGGATGAGGATCACAAGTTTCGCCCCATCATTTCCTGACATCTCAGACCCCTTCGGTCTACCAATACCACACAGCTTGCCTTCCAGTATTCGTTAAAATCTACCCTAAACCCTAAACCTAGAAAACCATCAACTAGATACAGTGAGCGTGAGGACTTTGGTGTGAACATGCGGAGATTACCAACTATAGGTTCTATGAGTTAGGGCCTCGTGTTTTTGTCTACCGCATGTTTGGTTGTTTCACCTTGCAGACTCGCACCATATGCCTCGCCTGGATTGTCCGAGTGTGAGCGCCGAAACCCTAAACCTTAAGCCCCAAACCCTAAACCATAAAGGGTTTAGGGTTTAGGGCCAGAGTACAGAAGAAGTCCCTGGGATGCTCTACCAAGCAACTGAAGGCAATTCTGAACAGGCTCAGCTGAATGCTCGACATCGCCTCCACAAGTGCTCGTAGTAGTGTGCCAAATGCCGAAACCGGGGCCTATGTTTAATTTTAGTGACAATGAACTTGCTACAGGTGGCGCAGAAGTGAGGTTCCTTGAGACTTAAGTAATTGCTGAGCTGCTACAAAGGGTTTCTCGATGCTGCTAACCTAGGTCGGAAATTCCATACGGCTCAGGGTACCATGTGAATTTCGAGTTCAGGGTTCCTTTAGAATATACAAAGACTTGTAGACGTCCCACCAGGACTCCAGGGCGCTGCATTGTGCCGCTTCGGTGGCTGTGCCCGATCCTTCAGACGATGAGGTGCGTCGCTAAGGCTCCAACTCAGGACTCAGATGTTTAGTGGCTCCAAAACCATGACCGTAGTATCGGTGGTTTATGCTAAACCTCGGAGATGGAGGCTCATCAACTAGCTACACATTCGAGCGATGTGGTTGCAAGGTTCGAGTGCCCTAAGACATAGAGATGGCTAGGCCATCATGCATCGAATTCTTCACTGAGGGTCAATATGCCCGAGTGTCAGACGAGCCTTGGTTCAGCTCGCACGAAGGTTATGAGTTTGAGGGCAGTGGCCCTCGGATTGTGGATGTCGATTCTGGTGACGGCTGACCCCCAACAAGCAACTGCGAGTCTTTCAACACTATACTATACTATCCTATGCCATACTATACTGTACTATGCTCTACTGTACTGTGCTATGACATGGTATAATGTAAGTCTTCCCAGACCTACGGTCGATGCTTCGGTCACAGCCTTCGGCCGTAGCTTTGCTGAGCGCTTGCCTTCAATAAAGATAAGACTGGTAGTTGTAGTAACAACTAATACTCGTAGTGATGATGATGATGATGATGATGATGATGACGATGAGGACGACGATGATGACGACGATGTTGATGATGATGGTGATGATGATGATGACGATGATGATATTAACAGTAACAGTAGCAATGATGATGATCGTCGTAATTGAAACTAAATCGTGAAAATAACAGAAATAAGTGTGCAAATAGCATCTACGCAAAGGAACCTAAACCCTAAAGCCTAACCCCTAGCCCCAGTGTAGGCCAGGCCCGAAGCCCGAAACCCGGTCTGAAATCTTGTTGGCTCTGTAAACGCCGGTGAGTTCTGACGGAAGCATGTATCATCTGTTGTTTCTTACTCGTGTTGGTGGGTTGCTTTCCAAAGAACTGCCGGCTGCAGGAACTGGAAGATTACGCACCTATCCGGCCCAGCTTCAGCAGCCGCTGCCAAGTGACCGACGGACTGTGCAAGTGCGAAGCTGCCGGTGGCATGAATTAGACGTGAAGCCCGAGCTCACACAATCTCGCGACACTTGCTTATCTTGCATCGTGTGATTATTGGTGTCAGCTCGACCGGTCACTGCCGGCGATGTCTGCCGCTCACACCGCCTGTTCAGTTCAGCCCGAGCATGTTATGGGTTCACACTCTAAAGCTGCATGCTCCAGCGACGTGAATCATCGCGGCTCAAGTTTGAGGGTGTGGAGACAGTTTTGGAGTAAGGGCAACCACACAAGCCTCCACTTATTCGTCAACTCAGGTCAACACCCCAAGAGCATCCTACCCAGCACTGCAACATTGTTGTCTTTGTTTGGTGTGAACCTCTTGTTTTGTGGATTCGGAGACGTGTGTGGTAGCCCGTGCTGTATATAGTCATATAGTTCTTTAGATACCTGTTTGTGCAAGAATGGCAATCGTTCCAATTCAGGGTGAAGGTGCTGTGAAGGCACGAGACCAACAGAAAGGTCGTGGACATGGTGGCAAAGGTGCAGGCCAACATCGTCCGAAAAGGCAACAAGGCAATCGCAGTAGCATTCGCAAGCCTGTCCTGGCACTCTGCAAAGTGACCCGCGCCGATGCCGCAGGGGATGCCACGGAGGCCTTAAAAGCCGCCCTTCTTGAAGCCGAGCGTGGCAGCGAGCCCGTGGACGGAGGACTCCTGGGAATGGCAGCCGCCCAGGCTGGCCGGCTCGGCCTCAAAGACCTGCTTGCCTCGCTTATGGCCTACTCTTGGCCACTTGGTTCCCCAGTAGTACCCTTTTGCCCTTTATCTTTTTGGGCTCCCTTATTACTAAAACCGAATGGTAGGAAAAAGGGTGCCCTTATTATTAAGTGGCTACTGGGGAACCTAGGCCAAGACTTTCCTCTTGTGGTGGACGCGAAGTTGCCGAGCTGGCCGCCGCTGGCAGCAAATGCGGCTGTGACGATGACAGGTTCTTCTACTTCGTTGCTACATACTGCAGCCAGAACCCCAGTGCATTCACCTGCCTCCGGGATGTGGCACTGGTCGCTGCGGCACTCACACCGAAGCTTGATTCACAGGTGGAGTTGTCTAAAGATTCTAACACCCGCTCCCGGCTGTGTAGACTCTTTACTATAGGATTTATGAGTGTGTCAAGGAGTGTATCACGGTTCAGCATCAGAGATACGAAATAATCAACAGCAAATGGGAAGGATCTGACAATGTACGTCGAGTCGGGAGCCAATCACGACCTGAGCTGTGTATTACCCTAACCCCCCAGGTACCTACTATATAGGGCCCTAGGGGCTCTAGTACCCTATATAGTAGGTACCTGGGGGGTTAGGGAAATCCCTCGAGCCCGCAGGTGAACCTTGGAGCCGCCTTCTACGGCCTCTCCAGTGTGGCCTTGCAGCACTTGCAGGGCAAGCTGACGGGCCAGCCCATTCGGGACATCGCCGAGTTCTTCTACTCGCTCATGAATGTGTTGGGCATGCCGAACAATGCAAACCTCTGCAATGAGGACCTGGTGAAGGAAGTCATCGTAGCAATCGCCTCGGCTGTTCGGCGTTTCCTCCATACCGCCAGCGGGCAAGATATTGCAAAGGCCACTGGTGCAACATCGCTTGGGTGGACGCTGCTGCCTCGCTTGCAGGACAGTGTTCTGGGCCCTTTGTTGAAAGAGCTGGCGCAGGCAATCCGTTTCCGCCATGCGGACTTCAACGCTCAGGACTTGGCACAGCTCAGCGTCTCGTTCGCCCGAGTGGAGGGCTTTCCGGACTTCGCGACCTCCCTGCCGATCCTGGTCGACAAGGTTTGCGAACGCATGGGGACCTTCAGCTCCAAGGACCTGAGTTTGGTCCTTTGGTCTGCTTCCCGTCACACCTACCTCGCAGACAGATGCGCGACACTTGCATCCAAAGAGGTGATGAGGCGAGATTTGACGGGCTTCTCTGCGCAGGACCTGTGCATGACTGCCCAATGCTTGGCCAAGCTGGGAAGCAGAGGCAAGGCAGCACTTTGCTTGGTCGCGGGCCAAGTCTTTCAGAGGCAGGCGAGAGGCTTGTCGACCACGGACAAGGTGCTGTTTCTCTGGGCTCTGGCGAAGTGTAAAGTGATGCATCTTGCCCTTTGCCGGCTCATCGTTCGGGACCTCGCAGTCGAGAACTGCAGTCGTCTGCAGAGAGACAAGGTGGGCCTCGCGCTGTGGTCCCTGGCAGTCGTTTGGCAGTCGCTTCCGCAATCAGATTCTTGGGCAAGGCTTCTGGCGTCCACCCTTCTTGCTGCGCAGCCGTGGCAGATGGCCCCAAGCTACGAGGTCACAAATGATGCCTGGGCCTTCACCCAGCTTCCGGCAGATCTCACCAGAATGATGTGGCCATCGCTCCTCTCGTCAGCAATGCAGATTGCTCCAAGCAGCCTTTCACAGCACGAGCTCTGCAACCTGCTTGCCGGCCTGTCACGCTGTCCGAAGCAGGTAATCCTCTGTCAGGAAGTGTTTACATCCTTCGCGAGCGAATTGGTGAGCCGCCTGCAAGCGCCGGATGGGCCGCCGACAACATCTGAGCACGACAAGCGGCTCCTGGCTGCAACGCTTGCCAGCCAGCCAGAGAACTGGACCTACCTGAGCGAAAGTGATGTAGAATCGGTGCAAGCCTTTGTCTCTGCGAGTGAAGCCAAGCCCCAGGACGTTCCGGACGCATCGGAGGCATCCCGGCCAACTCATGAGACTCCATCGCCCGATCCGGAGGCAGAGACACCCAACAAGGAGGAGGCCGAGGAGGGCACTTACCAGACAGAGGAGGCCCCAGACGCACCAGAGCCAGAGACGGAGAGACCCTTCGAGAAGCCTGAGGGGAGCTCCTTCGAAGCAAAGAGAAAGGAGACGGAGGAGGCAACCGATGTGCCAGAGTCAGATGCGGGCGATGGGTGGGGTCCACAAGTTCTCGAGGAGCGCGACACAGACTCAGGTGTGCCCGGCACATCGGAGCTCAGTCTTCTACATCTGAACTCCCAATGCAACTACAAAGGCCACTGTGTGCAGCTTAAGCACACTTTCATCCATATAGATTGCCCGGAGGAGAGTGATTCGGAGGAAGACTGCATGATCTGCAACATGAACAGGAACGCGGGCCGCAGGCGTGCCCAATCGGCCGATGGACGAGATCTAGTTGCTTCCGGCAGCACTTCCGTCCCACCCATCCCGGTAATAAACGATCCCGACATGGAGCGCGAGATCTTGGAGCGCCATCAGCATCGGGTCGAAAAGCGACGCATGAAATGGGGATCGATGCCAAACTGCTGCATGCCTTCACTACAGCTGCAGTGATCTGGGTGCCAGCGAGACAACAATGAAGCAGTGGCGATGGCTTCTCCAAAACACCTCTTGGGCGCTTATAATATACAATTTATAGCATGTAGCATGTAACAGATTATAAATAATCTTGATATCTTCTAAGCAACGCGGCCCGTGAAAGCACTAAGGCATCTCTCCTCACCACTGTTTCGAGTGTTATTAGCCGAAGCTGGCCGAGCCCAGCTGCTTCAAACGACCGTTACGAAAACTTGGGTATGTAAACTGAAGCTAGATGACTTAATTGTACTGTAGGATTGTACTTAATAACAATGCAGTGATACTATAGTACTATGATGCGTTGATGCTATCATCGGAGCTTGAACATCGGTCGATCTTGAAGCTTTTGGAAGCACATGCTTCTTGGCAGCACTGTCGCTGAAATCACAGGGACGGAGCTGCCTCTCTGAGGGGTGAGTCGAAACGAGGGGTGGTTCTCACCATGCACGGAATTGGAGCTCTTGCATCCACAACAGCCGCAGCCGGCTGGCACCCTGGTGCCCTGAAAGAAGACACACAGACCAGTCCTGTTGCCTGACCAGTTTGCCTGTCGTGAAAGGAATAATTTTCACATGCAGGCCGGTCAGCTGAGATCGAAAGGAGGGAAAGTGCCGTCGGTACCATATACAGCGTCCGACATGCACAGCTACCGAGGGGAGATTGGCAGTGCCAGTGTTTGCACGAGTGGTAGATTCCAGGAGGTTGGAAGGTCAATGTGTTGGAAGAAACTGTTGGGTCGAGCCCCGCCTGGTTTCAGGCAGTTGCCTGTTGATAATTTTGCTACTGCATGATATCAGTGGAGACTGATGGAACAGGCTCGAATCATGCTTCTGCCACGCTCAGGCTAGGTCTCCGGTGCTTAACTATTGCTACATGCGTCCTCCTAGCTGAACCTGGTCATTCTGATGGGACGCAGCTTTCAATGTTCAGAAGGGTGAGTACCTATTATCCATTGTAGTTCCTTTTGGGGGATACCTTATAAAACCCGAATATATAATTCGTTAAACCCAAAAAAAGGAACTACAATGGAGACTATAGGTAAGGCTACCATCTCCCCTTGTTCTGGCCTCCGAGAGCTGGCTGCGGGATACTCGCCTGGTTTGTCCATGTGTGCGAGCCAAAAAGGTCATGGAGACTCGGAGAGGATCTGCAGTAACTGCCCCCAACCCCCCAGGGTACCTACTATATGGGGTACTGGAGCCCCTAGGGCCCTATGTAGTAGGTACCTGAGGGGTTAGGGTGCGTTCAGTTTTAGTGGGCTTACAGTAGGAGAGAACTGTCGGCAGCAGATCCAGAGGATGGTGATGTTGACAGGCACAGCTCCACAATCCTGCAGCGCAGCTGCGCCATGGAATAGCATTGGAGTTCAATCTTCTGCAGGGACCGACCCGAAGTCATTCTTCAGCTCTTCAGTACAAGAGGTGCAGAGGCTGGATGGTTGCGGAAAGAGGGTGCTGGCGGTCTAGATGATGTGTGGTGCCCGGACTTGCATTGAAAGCTGTTCTCTTAGATTCAAGCCTAGTGCCTCCGACCATCTGAGTGGATCCCGTGCCTGATCGTGTTCCACGCAGTTTTAAGTTTTAACCTTCTCCAGGTTCTAGCCAGACATGGCTTCAGGTCTGCACTCCATCCTTGTGGGACTTCAGGAAAACTGTGCGTGGACTTCCCCCAAGTGCAGAAGCAGTAGCATGCTGGTATTCATGCCTTACCCCAAGGTCCGATCTTTTATTCTTGTTATTGCCACCCCATATCTCTTGGTATACATGCTATACCCCAGGGATCTGCCTCCTAGTCTTGTTGTTCCCGACCCCATATGGGTAGTTGTCAAAATTATGGTCCTTTTTGGGGGTACCCTAAATAATAGGTGCCGTACTATAATAAGGACCCAAAAAGGGACCCTAATTTTGGCAACCGCCTTTTTTTTTACATCCCAGCCAGGACGCGACATCGTGGGAATTGCGCCGACCGGGTCTGGAAAAACGTGTGAGGCTCACTTTGCTGTCAAGACATTACCTATAGTCTCCATTGTAGTTCCTTCTTTTGTTTTACCAATTATATATCAAGGATTTCATAAGGTATCCCCAAAAAGGAACTACAATGGAGACTATAGGTAGTTCCGGGTTCCCCAAGCCCAACACTGCCGAAATCAAGCAGCGCACCAAGAACCCTCCTGAAACGGCTCTCTTTATAGAAACGGCTGTTTTCTTGAAGCTTGCAAAGCGGGAAGAGTTCTAGCCAGGCGAGACGCAAAGAAGCACCCTCAACCGTCCTAAACTTTAATCTATACAGCCCTGATTGGCAAACCCCCTTTATTTTAAGGCCCTGGTATGAACCGTACTGTCCTTACGTATGAGGAATCCTGTCGCATTTACGTGTTTGTTGTTGATTGTTTTTTTTTGTTTTTGCGTCGTTGGCTTCCTGGTTTCTTAGCTTCTCCCGCTTCGTTGATGCATTCAGGTCCAGGGGTGAGTGAAATCCGTCGGACTTGTGATACGACTGCTGCCGCTGCTTCTACTGCGACTGAGACTGCGACTGCGACTGCGACTGCGACTTCTACTGCTACTGCTACACCACCACCACCGCCACCACCATCAACACCAGCAACACAAGCACCACCCCTGCCACTGCCGCTACCGCGACGACGACGACGACGACCAGTACTACTACAAGCTTCAGTCCAAATGGGACCCTACAAATCGTTCAAGACCGCAAACGACAGAACAAAAGGATCAAGAACAACGTGCCTAGGCTGATTTTCCATACTTGCAAAAGATCACTATTCATCGTGGGCCTACACTACGTTTGACCAAGCCAATTCCCCACCCCCACGCCCTGGAAACAGATGCTTATAGTCTGAGGGCCTGAATACTGAGTAGTGAGTAGTGCATTCACCAGGGGCCCTATATAATTCAGTAGCCCATCTACAAGGAGCCTGATTTGAAAAGGCTTCTACCCTACCGATTTGCGCCTGGAAAGTGTGCTCACCCTTCGCGGCTTTTGGGGGTGTACTGCCTATTAGGAACAGGGTCCACGAAATTGTGGCTTAGTGTAGGGTTCGTCTGTGAGTTGTTTGTTTAGGAGACCTCGAAATTCATGGCAAGGCTGAGAGCTTTCTGAATCTGGAGGCCCTCCTCCATTTTGCTCGTAGATCTAATCTGAGGGCTTTGGGGTGCGAAGGTTCAGGACTGGACAGTCCGCAACCGCAAGAGAGTTGAAAGTGGAGACAAGACCTACGACTTGTCTTCTTTTTGTGCAAATACTCTCTCAGAGGAGACATGCAGTTCCGCTACTTCTGAACCCAAACCCTAGACGTGGAACTAGGACAACGCTTTCTGTGGTCAAAATTCACATGCGTCTGGCGGTTCGATCGGTATGATTCGGTTTGGGTTTACTGCGGTATACTTCGGAGTGCAATGTTCGGTGCAGTGCGGTGCAGTGCGGTGCGGTACCTGCACCTTCCACCTCCCCGCCATCCCCTGACAGGGTGGAAGGGTAGAGGAGGGTGGAGCCTTTCAGGAAAAAGGAGGAAAGGGTGAAGGTGTTATGGGTGGGCTGTCTAGGCAACGATTTTTTGCGGTTTTCTCTGCATGGCCCTGCCGGATTGTCTCGCGGAGTTGCTTGCGAATTTTCTCGCGGATTTTGCCGCGGATTTTCTGAAGATTCTATCTCCCTCGAAAATCCGCGCATTCGCGTGCACTGCCGGCCAGAAAATCCGTGCGCCAAACAATAAGGAAAAGTGCGCAAACCTTGCCCAGAGACACGGCACCAAAAGTGGAAACACGGTTTGGTACGGTTCGGTTCGGCGTGGTGTTGCCGGGGGCGCGTGCGGTTCGATGCGGGCGCAGTACTACGCGAAGGTATTGTTGAAGCACCCCTGGTTCATCCCAGAGCTGTCCTTGAATGCGTGGTTCGCGCTCGAGATGCTAGCGCAAGCCGCGAGGACGATCAAGGACTTGCATGGAACAAAAGGTGAAAGATGATGCCACCCCGGCAATATTAGGGTCTCAATCATCTGTTAAGTTGACAAGCTGGTAGAGTCTTACAGCCTGAAAAGAGGAAGGCAGGGTCAGTCAGTTGGCTGGCGGGTCTTTCGCACACCCTCAAGTAAGGATGGCATACATTCTGCCTCTTCTTGCGGATGGACTTTGCAAAGCCAAGATCCCAGCACACAGGCAGCTTCAAGTGTTGTACTTTCAAACCAAAGCTACTGAACCTGCAGCTAAGAAACCCAAACAAAGCAACCAAGGCACGATGCCCCGCTCCAACTACGATGGAATCGCTCTTCCTGCGTTTTTGCGAAATGTTTCCGAGGTCCCTTGCAAGCTTCTCCAGGTGTTCCGCATGCTTCGGGTTTAGGATTTCTGTAACGCGTTGAGTCTCGGCGGTGTACATTGACATTCCGGTATATAGCTGGGGTCCAAGACTCTGAGTGTGCCAGCCGACTCAGGCCTCAGCTAGCTACTGCGAATGGCTGTGCTGCAGGTCCTTCGAGCCATCTGATAGCAAGCCTGGCTCTTACGGGTTAGATGGGTGTCTCCTTACAAACAGCCGTAACGAGCCAAGTTCGGATCAAGTTTTGTAGTGCCCGAATGCGTGGGTTTCAACCCGAGAAGTGCGTTTTGACCAGCGACTTTGCTTGGTCTCGCTTGCTAGATGTTGCGAAGATGTCGGCTGAATGTGCAGCCACGAAGACAAGTTTGTTGAGAAGTCACGGGCGTACCGGAAAGCTGCGACTCGTAAAGGATCGTTGAGTGCAGGTCACAGGTTGCCGTCGAGTCGAAAGCTGGAGACGTTATCGCAGAATGAGTGCATGATTTGCTGTTCGAATGTGTGTGGGCACATGCGAATAGCACATACGCGTATGTCTCAATGACTGCGCCTGCGTTGGTGGCAGGATTATGGTGTATCAATCAACTCACACATGCATGACCATGCATGCACGGAGAAAGAGAAACGTTCTCCGTGAACGGACCTGCACTGTTCTGCTAAGCTCGAGGCTTCCTGCGGGCTCAGGGGCACCTAACCCTATAAACCCTAAAAAGGAACCCTTACAAGAACCCTAAACCCTAAACCCTAAACTAGACCCTAAGGAAGCTGAATCTGCAAGTTTTCGTGGATATTCTGTTGGCCTGCCGCTTGTGTGCTAAGTGACAAAGTCCTGGCTCGACTCCGCCGTTTGGACAGCGAGGAGAAGTGCGACGATCTCCAGCAGGCCAAAGGCTATAGTCTTGCTTGACAGTTTGTCATTGCGACAGAGCAAATCTTCGTTTGCTCTCTTATGAAAGCTGCAGGCCAGGGGAGGGACCCGCTCGAAGCTGCGCGGGTGGTGTCACGGGCCCAAGTCTAGGTTGGGTGGACGGAAGGTTAGGAGTAACTCCTCGCCGCTATGATGTCTGCAAGTGGCCATGATTTACGCGACGTCGACGAACACAAGATGCCGACCGACCGCGAGAATGAAAGGAGTCCTTACCATCTTCAGGGCGACCCCATGCGCTCACCGGGTTCCTTCTACTGCACGGCACAGCGCTCCGGTGTTTCGGAAAAAAACTCCGACAAGAAGAACCGAACCTCAGTGATTGCGGGAGATTTCATCAAAGTAGATACTCTGGCATCGGAACCTGATGTGCAGGCTCAAGCGTCTGCTACATCAAAGCTGCGAGGAGCTGCGACGTGGGTTTTGTCGAACCACTGCATCGGAAACCTTATGGCTTGCGTCGTCGTAGTGGATGCAATGTGCACTTGGATCGACATTGATGCTCGTGCAGCCGGCATATCGACACCGACATTCGTCGAAGTCTTTACTGACACTGCTTTGGCCCTCTACAGCCTGGAAATTTTGCTGCGCTTCGTAGGCAAAGGTCTGAGGGGCATGGTCTCAGACTGGCTTGGAGTTCTCGATATTGTAGTAGTCGTGTGTGGCTATGCCGAGATCCTGTTGAAAGCATTGGCTCCTGCTGACCTGGTGGCAAGGCTGAGTGTCATGCGCGCACTACGCTTGGCACGTATTGTCCGCTTGCTGCAGTTTTTCAGGAGGATACGGTCCTTACGAGAGCTTCAGAAGTTGGTGACGATGATGGCGACATGCCTTCGAACTTTAACTTGGTCGTTCCTACTCTGCTTCGTGATCATGACGATATGGGCCATGCTGCTGGTGGAGATAGTGTACCCCATCGTACAGGAGATGATGAGAGAGGGTGATGCGACAATTCTGGACTGTGCATACTGTCAGATCTCGACGAGCTCTGTCATGGAGGCGACCTTGCTGCTCTTCAAGACCGTCATCGCCGGAGACAGCTGGGGAAGGCTCGCCGTCCCGATCATACAAAGGAGTCCAGGAACGGCCATCATTTTTGTCGGCTCACTTTTGTCCTTGGTCTTCGGCGTTTTGAACATCATCGTTGCTGTGGTTGTCGACACATTCGCTGAAGCCAGACAGAATGACATCTTGAGCTTGGCGGAGGAAATGGAACACGACATTGAGAAGGATCGGGAATCCCTGCAGAAGCTGTTTGCCAGGATTGACGGAGACGGCAGTGGCGAGCTCACACTCCAGGAGTTGATTCAGGGCGCTCGTCGTGACCCAGTTTTCCAAAGCCGGTTGCGAGTAATGGACATCGATGCTAGGTTGCCCAGTGGTACCCTTTTGCCCTTTTTCTTTTTGGGTTGCCTTAATGAAGCAAAGTAGTAGGAAAATGGGTACCCTTATAACTAAGGGGCTATTGGGGAACCTAGGATGAGAATGACTTGCAGCAGCTGTTCCGCATGATCGATGTGGACGGAAGTGGCACCATCGAAGTGGCAGAGTTCATTGGCCCTTTGAGTCGTTGGGTTCATGATTCGAAGACAGCACCTAGATTCATTAAGTATAACATGCTGCAGACGATGCAGATGCAAGAAGACCTGTACAGCCTGTCGAAGACATACTTTGGTCATCTTTCAGAGAGAATCGATACAGTCGTGGCGAAGATGAGCATGCAACACGCAGAGCCCACCCTGTTGGTGCCCTTGGACCGTTCTGAAGAGCAGCAAATTGAGCAGCCTGAGCAGCCGAAAGCCACCCAAAAGCTGGAAATTCTCTGCCAGGAGCATGTCTCCCCTAGCGCGCCCGAAGCGACTACATCCGGATTTCCCACCCACGAGAGTGAGCAGAAGGGTGAGATGTGGCGGAAAGCCTTGGGCAAGGATGGAGCCGAAGTCGGGGCCTTGCTTGAAGCTCTCATCGTAAAGGTTGAAAGTGGGATGATCGAAATGGAGAGCAGATTGAAGCGAGCAATGGCTGGCCTTCCACCCGATGCGTCTATGCTGCATTCCAGTCCCAAAGAAACGACACCTACCGGTTCGGGAGATGTAAAGGGCCGTGCTGATCTCTTCCGGTCCGTGTATGGCGATTCCAAGCGTCGGACATCAAGAAGAGCTGTCGCCTCCTCAGCCACATTCGGCCAGTTGGCATATGCTGAAGGGACGGCATCACGAAACATCAAAACCTCAGGGGAGTTTGGTTTGCCAGGCTTGCCACGCTTCCTCGCCCGTTAATGCGCCGCTGCTCCAAGAGCAGTGTGTTTCACAGCCATTCGGTCAAACATGCATGTTTGGCCCAGCCCATATCCTCTAATCATGAGGTGTACGGTCATAGTCGGACCACTCCAATCACGGAGCAACGGAATCTCAGCTCAGCGTCAAAACCCCACATGCCACAAACACGAGTTCTGTTGAAATCTTCTGAAGAATAAATAGCGAAGGTGCCAAATATGACGAGTGCGTCGCTTGCAGGCGATGAAAACCGTTGCCCGCAAAGCTGCAGATGGCTCGAAAGACCAGGCACGTCGGCATGGTGGAAGGGTTTAGCGAATAAGTTTTCATAGCAATTGCCGCGCAATCGTAGTACTCGCGGGGGGGGGGGGGGGGGGGAGATGTTGAAGGCGAAGCCGCTGCTTGATTTGCTAGCAGACACATGTGCATAACCAACGGAGAAGGTGTTACATTTGATGTTGTTTGCGTTGGTGCATGTTTGCAATGCCATCCATGTTTCTGTATTCTAGCGGCAGATTTGGGCACGTGAAAACATACGCAAAATGCCGGCGGCCGCAGCAATCAAGCAGTTCCACTCATGTTCCAGGATTGCTCACCTGATGTGCAGCCTCTGATGCATTTGTCCGTTGTGAAGCGCCCACATTGGGGTGATATGTAACCTTTCTCTCGGCATGACATGTGGTAAACGCGTCCCTGCTATGGGAGGGCTTATGTTTCAAGTCTCTACACCGAACCCGTCCTACGTGCTATGTACTACTACTACTACTACTAC